TATGGGACATTAGGACTTCTGGGTTCAGCTAGACTCTTGGATATCCCAAAAGAAACGGGAATGGCAAGGGCCCAATATGTAACCCAATAAGAGAAAGTCTTAAGGCAGAATTGTGCCCCCTTGAAGAGGAGCTTTAGTTGCCCCTCAAGTCGAAACTTGAGCACTATCTTAGACAAATACAGACCTATCTGTATTAGTCTAGGGTGATCTGGGACAGTGGTGGTTTGCACCCCTGTTAAAAGGGAGGAGGAGAAATATGTAGTATCACAGGTCTGGAAAGATGTGGGTTCTCTGTTATCTGGCCCTAACATCTAGCTCTTGCTTTCAAACTTGTTTCTCAAGACTGCTTACAAAGGCCTGTGCCTTGCTAGCTGATTATTCTGAGGGTACTGCCTTGTCTAAAAACAGTTTGTCAAAAGAGGCTGGTGATACGGGGGGGGTGATGTTGGAGAGGTCCATACCTTTTATAGGTGATGGTCTATTCACCTGAAATCTTGCAGAGAGGCAGCATTTGCAAAAATAAAGCCATTTTCTAGATCACATTAACTGTTCAGTTCTAATAGAAGGGTATGTGCTGCACCAAATTTCTATAGAGAAACCAGTGCGTGCAGGTTGTCGCTGCTGCCAGCAATCACGCAGCTGCTGAACAAGGCTTAATGAGGACTGCGCTGCCTGCCCAAGCAGCAAGGTAAGCCACCTTTTGTGCTGATGCTGAGCTACTGCAGTTAGATCAAACAGCTTTCAGACGTGCTGCAGTGTAAGCATGCCCTGAGAAAAGGAACCACATGAAATTTTCTGTGATGAATAAGGTTTTATTATCATTTTTTTTTAAGCATTGCAGAAGTAAGCTGACCATGACAAAATCATACACCTGTCTGTCTGCCATGGGCAAATGGTTCTGCTCTTGATGGTGTTTTGGGTGGTGTGTAGGCTTGCTTAACAGGTGGTTAACAGGTACGCTACAGGTTGTTGGCTGCCCTAGCTTACGGGGCTGACAATGTAACCAGAGTGCACGTATGCAAGCTAGTTATGTGACACTGGACTCTACTGACACTGGTTTTTGAATTTCTCTTTAGTGGAGCTGTTCTTGGTGATATGGTTACGTGGCAGCGTGGTCGGGTCTGCCAGTTCGTGAGACGTTAGCTTGAGTTCTCTCGGTAAAGATACTGAAATGTAATTGCTTTGACTCTCTCATGTTGAAGCTGTGGTGAGAACTGAAGTACAGGGGATAACACTGCTAGCAGCCTAAATGGTTTTGACTCCAAGCTGGATAGGACTGACTTCTCCTGAGGGGTGTGTATAAAGAGGCTACCGTTGCGGTTGGCTGCAGTAAGGCCAGTGAGAAAGATTCCTCCCACGATTTGGAAGGGTACATGATCCTCTGAGTAGGCTGGGATTTATGCCAGCCAGAAGAGCTCTTCCTTTTTCTTCCAGTACCAAGTGGTGAGCAAGTGTGTTAGCTGAAATGCAGACACTGTTCTTCTGGCCTTTGTTTCAGCAGACCTTAGAACCATTAGGGGCTTTGTCTGCCCTACCTGAAACAGCAGAATGGAGCCCTAGCCTGGCTCCAGCAGCAGTCGAGAGGTCAGCTACATTCCTAGCTAGTAGCTGACTCTGACCTCTACATTAGTATCCCTTAAGCTCTGGCCTTTTCCTAAGGAGCTATGGTAGTAGGGAAGAAAAGGTAATTCTTAGACTTTTAGTGTCTCTCATATGTCCCAGTTTAAGTGGAGAAACTTAAAGGAAAGCTGCCAACTTGTTTTAAAACAACTTTGAAATCTAAAAGATCCACACGACCCCTTAAATAAAGGGTTATGAATTGGAAAGTGAAAGTCGTCTAAGTGTACAAGGAATGTCTCTTCTCTACCAGGCTCCACAGCAGACTAAGGAGGTCTTACAGCTCCTCCCTTCTCTTCCATTTGCCTGCCTGTTGCTTCTGTTCCAATTTCAGCTTCAGCCTTAACTCTCTGCCTTGCTCTTACTGTTTGAAAGCCACTGGGAGGAGCAGAAGCTTAAAACAAGCATATTCCCCTTGTATTTTTTAAAAGTTTTAGACTGAGTTCCACCCACCTCTTACAAAAAATGTATATAAAACAGTATCTGTTGGTGTTTATCAGCTCAGTGAACAAGCAGTTCATGGCAATGTAGTCAACTCTTACTGAATAGAGTAGTGTTATGGACAGGTTTGTTTTAATCCTTTAGTATTACAGTTACATTTTTTCACAAATTCTGGAACTGTGCTTAAGGAAGATATGTTTGTGTATTAAATTTTAAAAGTGGCAAAGGAACAGACTTCTGGCTCTTAAATGTTGTCTTTCTGTAGGCTTTCCTCTTTTTAAAAAAAAAAAAAAAAAAAAACCCAAAACCTAAAGCTAGCTGAATTGCTACCTTCTCGTGGATCTGAGTGCTCATGTGTGATTAAGCATTTCTATTAAATAGACTTAAAACTGTCCACCCTAGACTTCCATTATTGATAGAATACTTTGCTTCCATTATTGGCAGAAAATTCTTTCCTGTGCAAATCTAGGGATGTCCTTGGTGTGAGTAGTCAGCTGGCCAAACTGTGCTTAGTGACTTCTGAGGTAGTAAAACTTTGCTTAGCTTGAGTTGTGGCTATAGCTCCATTATGAACTTTCTACTGTATGTCTCAGAACTACATTAGTCTGTGTATCTGATCTCGTTCTTTTAGTATGAGATAAAACTGAACTGGGTTTTTTTTTTTTTAAATCAGTAGAAACTCCTAGTAAAAACTGTTACCTTTTAACAGGTTATGTGCTATCTTGATGAGCAACTCAAGAGTTTAAGACTTAAAATAAGTGTCGAACTTGCATATTCAAGCTTCTCATGTTCCTACATTTCTTGCTCATTTTATTTTAAGCTAGTTATTCACTAACTATAAAAAAAAATGTGTTAGGGTTAAGGTCTTTAAAGTACTGAATAAAAGAGGGCTCTGTGCCCTTATGAAGTGTATCAACCATGAACATAATATTGCTGAATATGGTAAAAGTGCTTAACTTCATCATTAAGTGTCTGTTTCTTCCACTGCAGGAGCTGGAAGATGAAGCAAGACTGATAGAGAGGACAGAAGAATCTTCTTTAAGAGGTCTGACAATCTGAAATAGTGACCATGTCTATCACAGATCACAGCCCCACCACTGGAGTGGTGACTGTTATTGTTATCCTGATTGCTATTGCGGCTCTTGGTGCCTTGATACTGGGCTGCTGGTGTTACCTGCGTCTGCAGAGGATCAGCCAGTCTGAAGATGAGGAAAGCATTGTGGGAGAAGGAGAAACCAAAGAGCCCTTTCTTCTGGTGCAGTACTCTGCTAAAGGACCTTGTGTGGAGAGGAAAGCTAAGCTAACTCCAAACGGCACAGAAGTGCATAGCTAACTTGGAGCAACGCATGTATTTAGACTACGCTTATGATGCGTGTAACCAGCAGAAGAATCTCCTATACTGTGAAGAACTTGGTCACATGCACGCTACTCATCAGAAGACACCTTGATGAGGCTTAAGTAAGCTTTGTTTGCAACTGCATGCACCGAGAAGTTGCACTTTGCATCAGCTGTATATCCTTTTGCCTCTTATGACAGGAGCTGACTCACCTGGCATGAAGTCCATTGCTGGCCAATGGATATATTGGCGTGAAGAGACTAAGTGTTTTTCTTACTTGAACGTTTAGCTGAGCCTATTTTGATGGAACTTCTACTGTAATACTGGTAATGTGAACTATTTTACAACTGTGAACTGTAAATAGGCTGCCAGGAGCTTTTGCTTTGTGTTCCACAGCATACAGGAAGAGAAGATGCAACTGTACACAACGCAGAGAGACTCCAGAGCTGTGACTCCGGATGGGATTCCAGACAGACAGAACCAAATCTGCAGTTAAAGCTTGCTTCTGCTATTAATTTTTGAGTGCATAGCCATAAAGCCGGAACTCTTGCTGACTTCTAACAGTTTATTGGACTGATTCAGAATACTTTCTTTGAAAAGCAGGAATAACTTGTCAGTAACATCTTGAAGAAGGAAGCATAGGGGCTACAAGAAAGAAAATGATTTCCTTTAGTTGCAGCTAGGTAGTTCAAGCTTTTTGGCTGCTGGTACTGTGAGTTCTCTGATCATGTAGCTACTGCAAGGAAACTGCCATTTTCATGGATTCCAGCCTGGGAACTAATGATGGATACTTATCCCTTGAGGATAGTCCAGAAGGTTTCCAGGAGTTTTAAAATGGCAGTAGAGCAACCTTTTTCCCTTCTGTATGTCTGCGTGTTAAAACTGCAGAAGGGGTTACTTATTAAAACTAGCATAAAAGCAACTAATATAAGGTTTTCCTAAAACCCTTGTTCGTGTACCTGGCAGTTAGGGCATATGTAAACAAGATAGCAAGCCTATTGTTTAAAAAAAAAAAAAACAAACAACACTTTAGTCTCAAGACAAACTGTCAATTGTGTAATACAGTTAATGTATCTTGTAGATAACTCTTGGTTTAACTCTGCTACTACAAGATAAGTTGAAAAGTCTTTCTTACGAAAACTAATGCTGATGTGGGGAAGGGAGAGCTCTGGGCTGTTTGTGGGGGGCTTCTTAGCTAGCAATGGGCAAGTACTTTCACATAAGGACACCTTTTATTTCCTGCTCTGTGCTGAGACTAAACTATGGAAACTGTAAAAAGATGTGTTAAATAGGATTTAGAACGCCCTAAGTATTTGTGGGGGGGGAGGAGAAGGGACAACACTGAGGGGCCAAAGGCAGCTTACATGATCCAGAATCCTTAGGATAGGCAGGCCTGCTTTGAGACTTGGCTAGTTCAGCACTGACCACTGAACTGTTTTCTACTATGGTGTACACATAGCTTCTTTGTGTCCGTTTTAAAGCTTCAAACACTTTGCTGCTAGCAAACAGATGTACAGTAGGCTTTTTTTCTTGAGATAAGTTACAAATAACACTCAAATCAAACTTCAGCTCTATAGGAAGCATTAGACTACTGCTTCCTGTACACGTGGAATAACTAAGCAACCTACCCAGCGAGCTTACCTGAGAATTACATAACTTTGTAAGAAGGAGGAGAATCATGGCCTAGTCAGTAGTCTCGTCCCTTTTCTCTGGAATAAAACGTTGACTTGCATTCTTAGTGCTCTTTTTTTTTTTAATGGGAGACTGTAATTTGAAACAAAACTAATACTGGCAGTAGCAAGAAGCTCCCAGGGTTGCCTCTTGAGTACAATGTGGGGAACAGCTGACAGATGGCTGTTCTTGCAACTTTATATAAGCATTTGAGAGGGCAGTTCTCTCATAGGACTTGCCTGTATGGCCAGACCCATCCACTTAGACTACTGCATTCTAGAATTCCTAAAACCAAAGAGAACAGGAATAATTCAGTAAGATATTTTCTTTAGTTTTGTTTCAGTAGAGAACAGTTCACATATGGCTCTTGAAGATTAAGACAGATATAATGGTGTACAAAAGTGATACAAAGTATTGAAGTTCTGCAATAGAAGAGTTACAGCAAGATGATTTTTGTCCATTCAAGTTTACTAATTATACAGATGAAACATCTCCATTTTAATTCTGCCAACAACAAAAATGTAGAGTGTAGAGGGCAAATGTTGTAAATTACCAGAAAAATATAAACCAAAGGTCCCAAATTAACATTTCCTCTAGCAGCTGTAAGAGGAAGCCAGTGAAAAATAACTGGTCCTTAATCAGAGGTGCTTCATAGTGCTGTCCCTCAAGAAAAAAAAATTGGCAACTTTTGGTTAAATGGATAGGTGTTTGCAAGTTAGTGCAACAGTAAAGTGCAGAAAGTGTTTTCCATGCTCCCCCTCTACTTAAACGTGGGTATAAGTTGTTCAAGTTGTACAAAAATACTTCATTTGATTTTCTTTTTCTAGATCATTTAGGGGAGAAGTCTTATTTACAATAAATTTCAATAAAATTTGCATAAATACCTTCCCAATACTGTGTTACTTTGACTTTGTAAGCAATTATCCTGTCCTGTTTTCACTACTGTGCTCTTCCTTGATGGTATCAATATTATCAATTCTTTTTTCCTCAGCGGTGGTGGCAGCTGTTGAAACTGGTAAGTCATTGTCATCAGAAAGCGTTTCCTCTGACTGAGCAGGTTCTTTAGTTTCATCTTTGCTCTGTAGCTTTCCTTCCCTTGATGCTACCAGGATTCTCAGCAAAGTATTCTCTTTAAGGAGATTTTCTGATGCATCAGCCAATTCTTGAAGTTTTTCAGCCATTGCTAGCAATTCTTGATTCTTCTGGTCGTATGTGGCCTGTAACTGCTCACTGTGGAGTTGCAGGGTCTTGTGCTGCTTTTCCAGTGCATGTTTTTGCTGCTGTAGTCTATGTTCCTCTCTTCTAGCTTCAAAAAGCTGTTCTTCAAGCTTGTCATGGGCCTGATGTAGGGCACTGATTTCTGATCTTAACTTCTGAATTTCTCTCTCTAAGTGGGAGATATGTCCTTGCTGTAAAACTGTCTCTTTATGCAGGCATTCTTTGGTACAGGGGTCTGATGAAGAAAGACTTGAGTAATGTAAAATAAACCTAAGGAGATTAGGAAGGTTAACTGGAAAGTCTTCAGGGAACTTCACGCTCTGCTCCTTCCTAGAAAGACATACTAAGTTAATATTGCAACTTTCAGAAATGTAAATAGTGATAGTTTTATGTAAGTATCTGCTCTCTAACTCAAACTTAGTACCTTGGTTTTATAGAGAATGGCTACCACAGGAGTTAAGAGAAACTTAAAACTTACTTATATAATGAAGATAAGGTACACAGACTACTTTTTTTTTTTAATGAATCCTATCTGTATTCCAGTCAGTTTGGGTGCCATAAGAATCTCTGCTCTGGCTTGATTGATTGTTTTGGTTTTGGTTTTCTTTTGTCTGATAGAAAAATTTTTCTATCAAATTAAGAAACATATTCTACTCTTAGCCTATAGTTGGAAGGAATTTTTTGTAAAGCTTTTTTACATGACTAAACCCCAAAGTGCACATAGTAATATCACTGTTTGGGCGTGGGTGATCAGAATGTATTGATATTAGCAAATGTTAAAAGTTGAAAGAAATCAATTTAAGCGTTCCTCATCCTACATATATTGGTAAGAAAAGTTAAGTCCAGCTGTATAAAACTATCTTTTGGGGAAACATTATTTGGAGCCTATACTGCAAGTTATCCCAGAACACATAGCTTAATGTATTCCACCATTAGAAAGGTATTGAAGGTAGAAGAGTAGTTTGCCTTTAAAACAGTTAACAATCATTTTACACAGAAGCAAGTCTCTTGTGAAAAACAAACCAACCTTTCGACTTGTTCCTCCTGCTGCTTTGCCTTTGTGCTCCTGAGCTCATCAAGGAAGCAAACCAGCCAAAGCAGTGGTTTTTTCCTTTTTCTTTTTCTTTTTTTTTGTCTGGCTGGCTCATCATGTGGCTGTAAATACTAATCCTAGCATGTGAAGGCACAGGCCTGCCATGTTCTGCATCAATACAGGCTTGCTTTTAGACCGATGTGAGTCCAAATTGCTTCAAGACCAAAGAGTACAAAATCCCTTCCTCGAGGCTACTTACCACCAGAAGACACCAACCACCTCCAAAAGTATCGAATGTTAAGATTATTGTCCTATACCACATGCATGTTTATCACAGAAAACAGGAGGCCAAACTAAGGACCAGACAGGATCTAACTTCTACCGCTTTCCTCCTGAACCAGTATGGCTTCAGCATTTCAGTCAGTCTGTATCCAGTGTAACTGGATAGAGTTTGCTGCTTACTGACTCTTCTGCAGTAGAACTATTGCAGAATGGAGTTGGCCATATAAGCTATAAACACAACAGGCTAAAATCAGCTCCACAGCTTAAGGCACCACAGATTTGTTTATGAAAATAATCCATGATAGTAGGGGTTTGTTTGTAAGAGCCTCACAGACAAGCTGTTCAAAGTACTGTCATCCTCTAGGAAAGGTGATTTAAAAAAAAAAAGAAAAGAAGTTTCACTACAGCCATATTGAGTCTTGTTCAGTAAGGCCAGATTTATCATCTTCCAGACTACAGTGCAAAGCTTGCATGTGTTTTCTCTTTCAGTATGTTTAGCTATATTATCTTTGGCTGTTATTAGTCAGAAGCATGCCCTCTGATTAGGGAGCTATCAAAACAGGTAACTGAAGAAAAGCTTAGTTATTTTCCTTTGCTTGCCAAGATTTGTAACCAGATTACTGGTGCGCAGTATGCAGTCAGTGGGACCACGTTGGACATTATTTACAGGTGAATTACACAAGTCAGAAAAAGGAGATAGCATAACCCCCAAAAAGACTATGCTAAAGTAAGGAAGACAGATTTAAGTATAAAATATAAGGCCTCAAAAAGTGTACTGCTGCTGCGTCTAGAGAATAAACACCGTGGACAACACTCATGTCCCCCCGATATGTGAAATTATGTTTCTGAATTGCTCACACTGTGCATGCAGCAAGAACAGAGGAATTATTCTGAGCTATCAGATATAATTACCTCAAAAACGCTTGTTGTGAAATCCAATTTATTAATATACACAATATTCACATTGTATTTACTTCATCTACTGAGAAGTATTTATTGTACTTCAAGAAGAAGAGAAATATCACATTTTATAATTAATTCAAGAACCTGGGCCAGATGAAGCTCCTGCCTCAAGTTTTTGGAAGAGTAAGCATGATTATTTTTCTTCCCATGTAGGCTTCTGGTGATCAACCATGTAACTCCAGTAATTACTATCAGCAGTTTCTCAACTGACAATCATTTCAACATCCAAGTTTAATGAATCATGGCATGATTTTGGCAAAAATATAGCCTATACTAAGAGAAAATTGAAAATTGACTGCTTATACAATGGTATTATTTTACTGCATCACCATCCATTGTTTACTGATCTAAAGCACAGGATGTACCAGAAACACTGAAGTGCTATTTAAAACAAAAAGCAAAACAAAAGAATTAAGAGTATGGGATGGGGGGAAGACTGTAAATAGAATAGAAACAATTTGCAAAAATTGTCTCATAACACATATGCATGAGGAGCTGACTTGGGCTGTACAAGAAGCCTTAATATAAAGCACCTTTATATCCAAAATTAATGTATGACTACTCTAGTAGTGATGTTAATACTACATATACTAACAACTACTAATCTTGCTTGATTACCTAGATGCAGCAAACTATAAAACAGACCGGAGAGGAAGGGCAAGAGAGAAACAATGACTAGAGATAAGACACCTTTATGAAACCAGATTACAAAAACAATGTTACTAAAACTATAAAGTCAGTGGCTCCAGAGACAGGTCTAGAGCTGTTTAGTAAAAGCGACCAAGCCAAAATGAGTATCTATGAAAAGAAACAGGAAACACAGGTCTATGTAGTAACATTGGGAAGATGGCAAGCATTAGAGGAAGCTTCATTTCCATGAATTGCCTTACTGTCCTAAAATCTGTTTCAGCTATGCCTTAAACTAATTTAGAAAACCGTTTAAAATAAAATATAGTACACCATCTTGTAATAGCCACGCAGTCACTTATATACATAACACTCATGCTCTCACCTAGATCACATGAGCAACTGCTGACCCAAAGACCTGCTGAGAGAACCACAGGAGGAAGGGCACACTGTGCTGTTAACCATAAACCCCAAACCCTCCAGTTAGAACTGGCCCAAGCTGTTTTGCCTATACAACATAGCACATTGCTCTGCACAGACTTCGCAGAGACGAGACCAACAGTGGCACAGGGATATGCTGAAATTCATAAACCCTACTCCCCTGCAGGGCTCATAAGCTTAAGCACAGCACCATATGAATTCTGGACCAGAAGAAACCATCACAGCACCTGGCACTTTGCTCCACTGTATGATGCAGATATAGCCACGAGAGCATCCATGCAGCATTCTGCAAACTACATCCTTGTTCAAAAATGGGAGGGAAAGTCACTTGACTCCATTTCCAGTTAAGTAAAATGTTGGGGCTTATTGACTAGAAAAGTGCTCTTTAATGGTAGCCACAAAAAAGTCAATTCCTAATTCCTTCCAACCCAAAGATTCATCACACAATGGGTCTTAATGCAATTAGATCTAGTAGATCTTCAGCTCTACCGTACTGACTTTATGCCACTTGACCTAACAGCAACAGAAACAGCTGCAGAAGAAACCGCATACTACTTCTACTTATGTCTCAATGGTCAGCAGCATCTCATGAAATGTGTAGCTCTTCTCAATTCAAACTGCGATTACCGATCTTTAAACCAGTGAAGTCCACAGCCCCTAGCCACTCAGCCAGCCAGAACTAATGCACTGTAAAACGAGAGGCAAGAGCCTCTCTGAATGCTGGAAAACATGCAAAATTGAGACCCCATTTGTATCTGCAGAGCTTGTCAGGTAAGGGGGGTTCTGGCATTGATTGTAGCTGTTGGAAAGCAAGGAGTGTAGCTCACGCTGACTTGATGTATACAGGGACTCATCCTGAAGCATGCTCCAGCTGAGCTGTGCTCAGCTAAGCCAGAGCATAGTTTTCGGGGAGGGAACAGAGAAAGGACCAGAACTGAGCTGGAAGAATGGGGCAGGGGGAACCTGATCTACGAGGCTGATTTGCGGGGCTTATTGCACATGGTGGGGGAAGATGATTGAGTTGGAAGACAGAGTGACTCAGAACTTACATAAATGAAATTATTTCTGTACATACCCTAAAAAATGAATTTAGAATTCCAAAACTTCAGACACAATTTTAAAAACTGTGTGTTGGGTAGCACTGTTAAGTACCAATACCCTGAATTACACCTTTGCAGATGATGGAATGTCCTCGAAGGAGGAGGGTGGAAACGAGCGTGTTCGTTTCACATTACAAAGACACAGGGATTTGTTATGCTGCCTGTTTCAATGTCCTCTCTATAAGCTGTATGACAGCGAAAGACTGAGTTAATTGAGGAAGAGCACACACACTGACTGCGTGGTTAGCATCAGGAGCCAAGAGACTCTTGAACATTCTCAAATATAGAATCTCTGGGGATTTTATTTTAACAATCTCTGTGGAGCATTTACAAATTCAAATTTTAATGGCTTTAACTTGGTCAAATGTGGATGAATTTTCATGGGTACAGTATGAAGCCCACATTCATCATAAAGACTAGGCGTTGCAAAACTACAAGGTATACTGCAATATTTTCTAAAACACTTGTTCAAAGATTTTACCACTTGATTTCCCCCCCTCCCCCTAGAAGAACTAAACCATTTTGGTTGACGTTTTCCCAAAGTGTATTCAGCCTGAAATAGATACTTGGGCTGTAACACTGCAGCTCATATAAAGAAAATGTGACAGTTTTAAGAAAGGTCCTCTAATGGGAAGTGGTAGGCTACCTTTTTAATAGATGATGTTAACAGCAGTGCTAATGAATTTCAGTGTCACCATGGAATAACTGTTGCAAATATCACTAGAAATCCAAAATAAATCAAATCCAAACAGACTTAAGTTCTTCAACATAACCTCTGCTGACATAACACCAGTTTTTAGCTTGATGTTATTTCTTTAAGAAAGCTGCTAAAAAGAAAAGTTGATTATAAATTTACTCTCAACTCTAAATATGATTTTGAGGAAAACAAAAAAATTTTTGACTCTTGTTTGAGAACAAAAAGAAAAATCTGAAAAGCATGAAATACAGAAGAGAAATAAGTCTTCTCTTTTGTCTAAGCAGGTAATACTCCTGAGACTTCTTCAGCAACAAGTTCAGGAAATGATGCTGCAGGAAATTAGTAGCTAACTAATTTGTTAGAATAGTAATGGGAAGGAACAATATAATAATAATAGGAGGAAAATAATTTAACCTATGTGTCCTGAAGTTCAGGCAATATACAAAAATATTTCACACCGAGAAAAAGAACAGTATTATAAAATTATCAACAAAATATAGATGATGTCTGTGTGTTTTGTGTAGTGTATCTTTTGGTTTTGGACACAGAATAAGCGTTTATCGCTGTTGCACTTAAGTGTTGTGGAAATGATGATGTCTTATCTTTGTTCTTCTGCACTACTAATCCTGTTCATAGTTAGTGACGCAGAACGGCTTTTGGTAAAGTGCTTTCAGTTCAGAATCTTACCAGCAAACTAAATTAAAGCTGTAAAACTATGCTCTTCAGTGCCTTTTAGAAAAAGGTCACGGCCATCAGAATTTCTAAGAGCTGAAGCTTTGGTGTGATTTTTGGTACTCTGTTTTTTAAGATATACTCACTAAAACTGTTGAGATGTCCTCTCTATATATCTTCATGTGCTTCCATGTACTTTGAGATTTAAATGTTAGTCTGCTGCTATGAAGTTAACCCTCCCATTATTAAGTAGAAATTTAGATTTGATTTTCCTTTTGATTTTAATTGGAAGTATTTTTAATGCCTATTTATACCTTCACTCTGAAATGAAGAAGTGCAAACATTTTTTTTCCTGAACTTCTAGATCCTTGACTATTTCTGAATATAGTGGAAAAATTAAAAGTTTAGGAAAGTGAGAAGCAGTTTGTAAAATTTCTGAAAATGCATACCTTACCAAACCCAGAAAAATTAGGATCATAACCAGACAGCACTTAAGTTCAGCTTTACTTATTTATCTCTTGACAGTTAGAAAGCTCATACTATTGTGTATGTGGAGAATGATATCATCAGGGACTGTTTTCGCGTGTTGCATATAGTTTCTCTTCAACAACACCTATGTCTTGTTTTATTGCTAATCTCCTTTAGATATTTTGCTATGTAGGTGTTAAACTGCTACTAAAACTTCATTTGTTTTCTGTTTTGAAGAAACCAATGCATCTAGAGCACCAGTAAATCTGCTGTTGCTTTTCTCTTGTGAAAGGTCAAGGACTTGTTACTGACTCAGAATGAAAAACAAAACACTTCAGAAATACACATATTATTCCCATGATGTAATTCTATAATATTTATAAAAGCAATGCTCTGTAGTTTATTATTGCTAAAAAAACAGCCAAAAGGATTAAGGACACTAGTGAAAGGTAAAGGGTGTGTGAAATGAATACACATACATATATTGCCCACAAAAGCAGCTCAACTTCAATACAGTGAGAAACACAACCTGAGCAGTTTGACAAATGAATGTTCAGAAGTCCCTCTAAATGTATTTACATTATACCACAGAGAAGTGAGGGAGAAATAGAAGAAAAACTTCATAGATTAAGACTCCTGTAGCTATTATTTCCAAAGGATGCGTAAGTTCTCCTTTAGCTCTCAGTCTCTACTTGTATTTTTTTAATTCTAAGAACTTTGTTAACAATCTGCACGCTCACCTTCCACAGTATTAGGATTGTTAGATTTTGTTCTCTTAAGAGATTAAGCCTGAGCTAGTTTATTTACCCTAGTCTGTGCTTTTAATCCCCCCCCCCCCTTTTTTTTTTTTTTTTTTTTTTAAAAAATACAAACAAACTTGCATTTTACTGCACGGATCCATTATATTGTTCTCCTGAGATTGATCTTTCTCTCAGTTTATCCAACTGGAAGATGTTACATATGTAAGTTTCCTCTCCAGACATCACTCATTAATTTGTCCGGACAATGCCAAAATAATTATATTAAATATAGCCAAAAGAAAATTAACTAAAAAAATAAGGTTAGTAACGCTGCTGTTCATAAAGACTTGCAAACAATTAAATAATGACCTATCTGCATACAATTACCTATCTCTCGCCCTTTTTTAAAAAGGGTATTAAGTAACAATGCATACATGGAAATGAATTATTGTTTTGATTTTTTCTTTACTAAGGTTTACAATCAGATTAATTTTTTTTTTAACTTGGTAAAATGAAAGTAAAAGACCCGTAGGGAAAAGATTTACATTACCTCCGATGAGGAAAAAATAAAATGGTTGGGAGATGGTCTGTCATAAATTCCCATGGAAGGTCATTGCGAGTGATATCGATTCTGTTAAGAGAAAACACACTGATAAAGAGAAAAAGCAGATGAACAAACAGTATTTTCTTCTAAGACACCATGTGAGAGATTGTAAAATGGAAATTCCTATTCATTAATTTGTTTCTCAGTACAACTCCATGAATATTTTCCTCTAAGCAACCAATTTTAGGAATAAATTACTTTGCTTCTTCCAAGGACGGGCACATTATTCAGGGCACAATTTTTGCTAAGGCTCTACATACAGAGGAACACAACACATTGTAAATGAAATAACTCTTCAAGTACTTCTGTTTTGGTTTTTTTTTTAATTTTTTTTGCCTTTTTAATAATAAGTTACAATTAACAAGAAAATTTTGTAATCATGGAGAATCACATTTATGTGCAAGTTAGGACAAGTAACACTGCAATAGAAACAATGGAGCAAATGAGAGAACTTCAAAATCGGGAAAGAGCAGGTGTATATTTGGAGTAACATTTTATCTGTGAGAATAAGGCAGCAGTACTGAATAGGTGGTAAAGCTCCAGGTTTTAAATTAATTTTTTTCCCCATATACATGGTGCTGCCTCCTAGGGTAAATTCCAGTCAGAATGAAACAAAAAGGATACAATCAGAGCAGAGGCTCCAGGTATTGATGTGTTATCAAATATATGAATAAGAATATTAAAGTTGCACTGAAACATGAAAAACCCTAGAAATGCCAAACAAAAATATATGTCTTAGGCACAAAAAAAATATATCACATACTATTTCTCAAATAATGCAATATATAGTTCTTTGCTACAAGTTATCAGGGAGAAAGGTAAAATTGATGCTATCATCTGTGTTTTATTGGTTCATTTTCTGAAATTAGGTATGAAACTGCAAGGATAATTACAATAAATAAAAATTTGATTTTATTAAATTACAGAACTATGGTAGTGAGTTTGAAAACTACCAAGTTTATGTAGAGGAACACATGAGAGATTACATTCACATCAAGTATTTGCAGAAAGAAAGTAGTAATTATTTTCTAGGATGATGGTCTCAGTTAACTTTAATTATTCTAGAGAGATGACTTTTTTTTTTTCCCCCTTTTACCTGGCCACAGTGAAATTATCTGGAGGCAAAAGCCGAGCAAGCTGAATGAAGATGTGATTAAGAGAAGCACAGAATCCACACCACTGTGCATAATAGAGCAGCAAAACATTCTGGAAGATAAAAACAGAGAAGAGTCATCACCTATGGCAGTTAATCTGCCCTAAAGAAGGTCTAGTCTTCACAACAACATTATTTTCAACTCTTTAAAAGCAAAAGGAAACTATATCATAATGTTAATAAACTTTATAAACTATTTACTGATGCCATCTGTCTCCTGAGCTCCCAAAAGCTCTTGGGGAATTCTCTTTTGGAAGAGAAAAAAAAAATTAAGAGGATTATTTAGTTTCCTTTAAGTGAAAATGCACCACCAGACTTTATGTCTCATGATTTTTCTGCAGCCTTAAATTCCTATTTGAAAGATTGCATACTTGATATGGAAAAAAATTCAATTATGAGCCCTAGAAGACTGTTATTGTTCTTTAGCTAGCAAAGCAGGCATTGGGGCACTGGAAGCCAATTACTACAGATGCCAGAGTTCACTGAGTCCTTGCAGCCAATGGATATTGGTTCTGACTATCACATCTTTAAGGAATCAGTAATTTAACTACCCTCTGTGATGACATCATATATAAGAGAATTTTATGGCATGCAGTCAGAAAACTTTTAACCATGAGGGTTCCCCCCCCTCCCCCAAGTCTTACTTTAATTTTACAACCTTTCAGTTTCTCTGTATTATGTCTACTTTGCAATATTTTTTTTAACTTTTTTTTTAAAAAGAAACTAATATATAAAAATAAAAGAAAAAAACATTGTGGCATGTTTATTTACTTTAAGGTTTGGACTCAGAAATCAAAGTGTTCTTCAATACTGACCTCAAACCCTATGTATTTACCATGTGTTCTTGCCATAGCGGGGGGGGGGGCGCGGGGGGAGAAATCCAACAAATAACACCATCACATTTTTTTTTCCTGTATCTATTTCTAACACATAGTAAACAAAAATGACCAAAACCTTGAGCTGTAGCAAAGACTTGCCGCAGAATCAGCTGCATTGACTTCTTGACTGTTTTTACTACCATGTTTTAAAAGATTCACTTAAGATCAGGCTATTTGAATTGCTTTCTTAGACAAATATTCTTGAACTGTTACAAAATAACATATTTTGTGTGTTACAAATAAGAACAAACACATCAAGGTAAAAAAGAATGAAAGTCATTCCCCCAAAGTGAGAAGTGATTTGCAAGGAAGATTTTCAAAAATGTGTTGTACCTTTTCATTCAAGAACACAGCATCTTGGAAGGTACTAGTAGTCACTTCAGTGATTATGCGCTGTGCACGAAAACGGACTGAAGGGTCATCAACAAGATGCCTTTTCAAGGGACTGTAGAGAACGCTGAAATTTTTTATGAAACTCTCTGAAATGAAATTGATACATTACAAAGTTAAATTTAAGTTTCACAAATATGTGATATCAGCTGTTTCTACTTTGGAATTCAGAAGAATTTAACAGAGAAAAAACAAATTCAAACCTGGTTTCAGATCAGAAATTAATTTGTCAGTTTTGTATCAGCTCTCGAGTAATCACCATGTCTGTGAAAACAATATGGAATTTCAATTGCTCTCTCTTCACTTGCCTCACTACTTTTTATCTTGCTTCTACTCCTATTCAATGGGCTATAATACTAATTCCTTCCTAATCGAAGCACATACCTGGTAAGTCACAAAGAGCATCCTCTCACTGTCTTCGACTTTCTGCATTGCATTCAAGCATTTGCTCCTTATCTTGAAGGCTGCACTAAATTTCACACTTGTTTGCATTTAGTCTTTTATTTTAAATTACTTTCTCTGTAATTTTATTTTGCTTTAGACCTTCAAAGACTGTGCTATTCCCAAGCCTGGCCCCCTTTTGTTTAGGGACCACCTTCCTCTCCATTCAACTTTAATATTAAAGATATTTGGCAATAGTTGACCAGAGATAAAAATTTAAACTAAACCCCAAGCCCCTCAACTACCTTCACCTACGCTACTTCGAGCCTGAAACTACATGCTCTAAATTGCTGCAAGATATGGACTATATCATTCTTTTCAAGATTCAGACAAGTATTATTCTATGTATTATAAAATAAGATCTCATAATCAGGACAAATGAAATAATACCAAACATACTGAAAACAATTATTTGTTCAAATAGAAACTTTTTGTGCTAGTATTCTCAGTCCAAAAACTAGGCCCAACTAAAACTGGTACCTCTGTACATATATATCAGATTATCAAGTTTATCTCTGGAAATGTACATTTAATTTTATATTCAATATTCAGCATTCATGAAATTCTCACATCAGACCAAACTAAAGTTCTGTACTTTCTAGATGTCTAAATACTGACTATCTATGCATGACTAAGTAATATATAACTGCAAGGTGGGAGGTAGGTATACACATATCAATACTCCTGAATTTTTAGGCAACAGTCTGCAAAGGTCGAAAGCTGTGTCAGATATTACAAACACATTCTGTTTCATTATTTTAAAATCTCTCGTCAAATTGTCAAAAGTTAGGATGCGTAACAAAAAACCCCACAGTGACTCCTTGACGTGGAAGCAAAAAGTTGCCACAAGTTCAAATTACTGGGAAGGGAGTGTTGCTCTCCGAGTTACTCGGCAGAGAAACTTCATCATGCTCAGGAAATCCTGTGATCTGAAAATAGTTCGAGACAGAAAGTACTTGCAGTAGAAAGGGGAAGGAAACATTATACACGCTCACACTGGTCTTAAGTATCTGCTTATGGTCGCTTATTTTTTGCTGTTTATCTGGAGCGTTTTCCTTGGGCAGGTGTGATGGAGAGGATGCAGAGCTGGATGGGAACGTTAATCAGAACGTGACTTTTTCCTCACCTTTTGCATACTTTTGTACTTACATTTCTGAGGCAAAATCCGAATGTAATTAATGCTATAAGAATTATATCGATATACCTATTTGAACACTTTAGTACTGTGCATGTTTGAACTTACTTCCATTTTTATTTACCACTACTAACATTAAAAAAAACCCTGCATTTTCGAAAGGTGGACTCAGTTTTGCACATTATTAAGACAGGTAAGTGCATATGGTTAAGCATCTTGCGTTTCTCATTCAAATAACTTGTTCATGAATTACAACTTCAATCATGGGTTCTTCTGAACATTACTACCCTTTTTTCCTTTCTTCAGTGCAGCCAGGAAAAAAAAAAAAAAAAAGGAGCAATGACAGATATGACCAAAAAAGGGTTAAAAATATTTCAGAGCTCGCTCTTGATAATGCAAGTACTTTTCAAAATAAACTTTAAACAATTTATAAGTTGGTTTCGGAGAGCAAGACGAAGAGCCAGTCTCTGCTGGTAAGCAGGCAGCATCTCATGAAATTCCAGGAGAATATAGCATGTAGAACAGCTGAGCAAACACCAACATCACCATTAATACACAAATGTCTTCTGTAAGATCAAATATGTTAGGTGCATTAAGGTGATTTTTGTAATGAGCAAATTAGTTTAGATTTTAAACAATTCCTTCAAGGCATCAGGCATCCAAAAGTCACACGCTTTGTGATTCACTTCATCTAAAGCAAATTATTTTCGGTATATTAAAGCTACTACTTCTTACACAATCTAGAAAAAAATTCTACTGCTTGGTTGAACAGAACAGATTAAGAGTCACAATATTATCTGCAGTCTCACTTTATAAGCAGTCATTTTATGAAGGGCATACATGTTCCATCCACAGCCTTACTTCCAAACTTAGATTTTCTTATTTCAAGCATTTCAGTTGCTGATACCGTACCCAAAGTCGATCCAATAAGCGATTGATTCTGATCCAGGACATAGTGCACTTCTTCTTTCAGGTCAACAATGGCAACAAATTCCTTAAGATGAGTAGACCTCGATGCTCCTAATCTCTCTGCATATATCCAAAAAAGATTTGAATCCAGTAGATAGAGATTCAAGGTTTTGTTGGTCCTGCAGCTCAGACCAGTAATGTTAGTGCCATTATCATGAAGATCAGGAATAAAACAATTCCTATCCTCAATGTGAGGAATACATTTTTGGGTGTCATCTTTCTTCCTATGGGAAGAAAATGCTACTTTAGGGGTCTGAAAGATGGTCTTCTCAGAACTAATAAAACCTAAAAAATGCCTATTTACTGTCCTGCAACATGCAGTGTAATAGTTAAAGGGACTATAGAAACTTAAGAAATTGCTGCATTCTATGGTATTTGATATAACTTGAACAAAGGTATGTTCCTGGAGGTAGAAAGAGTCCAAAGCTGCTTCTATCTCTAAAAAATTGCAATGTGGCACATTGACTTTATTTGGTTTGACACCAAGTGTCTGATTAATGCAAAGCTCACAGACATTGTGAGTTCTAGATATTGAATGCCACTGAGGAAGCACCACTGTGTTACAGCATGGGTACTTTGTTATTGACAACGTTTCCAACAATTCTGCATGTGCATCTGGTACAGGGGAATCAAAAACTGGTGAATCAGTATCTCTTAAGTGTTGAGGAACTGGTTCAGCTGCCTCGCTTTTATTACAGTTGTGGTATTCCAAGGCCACTTTGGTAATCTACAGGGGGAAAAAAAAAAAAGAAGAAGAAAAATAAAGATTAACTGTATAAAGTTCACGCATAAAGTCAGTCATCTGTCGCAGGCTGAACGACATAAAACATATGCAGTTTTATATGGAATTTCAAAAACACAAAGTTGACTGCTCTTTCTTAAAAATCTCAGGAGGCTCTTACTTGACAACAAACTTAAATTTCTAGATAAATCGGCATGTAAGAATTAAATGTTCAGGGGAAAAAAAAAGGCCACTGAAATATTTTCAGTCTGCTATGCCAATCTCAAGGCCTTCCTTTGCATCATATATAGCACAGTTCCATAACATCACGTTTTAATGTTAAATCCTACTACATGAAGCATTAAGCACTATATAGGTTCCCTAATTTCACTTGCTCTTCCAAATGAGGAGAAAATAAAAACATTCCCATCTGAAAGGGGAATGGAGATTCTTCTCGGTGTGGGTGGTCCCCAACTTCTGTAACAATCATTGACAGTGCTGAAGTAGTGTTGTTATTCTCCCAGCCACGGAAATACAGTTGCAATCCTGCATGTATACTTTGGATGCAGGATTTATTGAAAATTAAAACAAAATAAAACAATAACAACAAGAACTAGCCTGCCACCCAGTGCAGATATTTATGTTTCATTACCATTTCTGTTGTCATAACCAAGGGCAAATGGAGCATGAGAAGGCACATGCATAGACCATAGGAAAAGAATCATTTTTAGGAGATAACAGACTACACAGGAAGGTAAAAGAAAAAAAAATGCCCTTCACCCTAATCTATCACATTAAATATAATCAAAACACAAAGCACAGCATGCACACTGCTTACACAAGCACATTTAAGGGTCATTCTTTCTATTCTAATAAGGGTCATTACAGCTGTCAAAGGGATGCTGAACAATCATGTCTAGGAGGGGAACTGTGTCACAGGATCATCCAGATGTGGTCTATATTTCCATTACAGTCTTTAAGAACTTATTAGATGGTTCCACAGGTCCTGAAAATGCTCAATTAAATACTCAAACAAAAATAACTTCACCCCCACACTATTATCTACTTTAAAGATTTTGACTACATACATAGAGAAACTTGAGAAGTTATTACGAATATAAAGATAGATTTGCAATATGAAATCTCATTTCAGTGAGCTATTATCAAAAGCCATTGGTCTTTGAGCACCGTCAACGCACAAACTGACAGCCTCATTCTGTGTGACTGCCTTAGAGGCAGGTGGTTTCAGAGCTCAGACTCACGTAGGCTGCAATAAACATCTCTTCCTGTGGAAAAGAAGTTGCATAATATACCTCTATTAAAGTGGATATACAGCATCAGCTGGGAGATTTTGTATGTCATTTCGTGTTTTCATATAGGTAAATACTCTCATTTAGTAGGATGAAATCCGAAACTGAACATCAGATGTAGCACTGATTTGATCTAAATGTATGGTATCTATTACTGGAGTGCTTAGTCTGTGGCAAGCATCACTGAATTAAGCCTGTGAAAAATAATATGACTTAGTATAAGAATAATTGCAGCTCTTTTCCAGTCCTTGACTGCAAATGACTTCTTAGAAACAATGCAGAACGAACAGTAAGCACAAGGAGAATTTTAAAAAGTTGAATTAACAATAGTTACTCTCTGCAGTTGTATTAATTCATGCAAGAATCTGTTAGGTAAGTGGCAGTATTCCAGTTGGAAAATCCAGTAGATTTTATGAATGCAGAAAGTCAAATGAAGAAGGAAATTAAGACAAGAACTCTATAGTTTGAGACATTTTCAAACTCTGTTCATTAGAGCATGCCTGCTTCTGGCACTACAAGAGAGAAGTTTCTTATTTTCTTGAAGAAGAGGCCTCACAAATGAGTATTTTCTCAGGTTTGAGATTCTCTTGACGGATATAATGAACATTCCACATTTCTGAATTTCCAGAAAGAGGAAGAAAAGCATAATGATCTGTGCATCAGACTAGAAGATTACGCCACTCTATTAAGAATATTACTTCATTTCTTTCAGCTTTTCTAATATAAAAATGAATGTTATCTTGTAGCTGGCTAGCTTTCGTGGTATCTATTTCTAGTTCAACTAGATATTGTGTCATAAGTGATTTTCATTTTTTCCTCATTGCTTCACACACTGCAACATTAATTACGTCTCCTGGTGGAGACCATGTGTTTCAGGACGTAGCTGATGTGCATATAAGCTAGCACTGCCACTAAAGTTTAATCCTGCTTTTTCTCTTTCACAGATTCTTGTTTCACACTACCCCTAGTGCTCTGCTGTCACTGCTGCGATGTGCATCTGCATGGTACATACTAAAGGGAGACAGTGGGATCCAGTTGAAAAATAAGCCAGGGGAAAAAAAAAAAATTATTTTTCAACCAAGTTAGTTTCCCTGTCTGGTTTGCTTCATAGGTACTAACTCGTGTCCTGGGCAATTCAGGAACAGGAACAACAGCAGAGGAAGAGAAAATTGGAAGGAGACTATGGAACATAGAGGATATAAAAATGCTTTTCAGAGTAGTTTTTCTGTTTGAGACACTGTTGTTTGAAATTGAACCATTTATTAAAGTGAGCATATTTCCTTGTATAACCACATTTGGGAAGGAAAAGGAAGGAGAGGGAAACTAGAATGGGGTACACAAAACACTTAAATTTTGCAACACTCAAATATATTCTTGCTCCTCCATCTGAGCTTTGTTATCCGGAACAGAAGATCAAACAAAGATCTGCTTCTGTCCAACGACACTCCACGGAAAGAGGGGAGTCAAAGAAAAGAGTCAGGCCCTTGCCGTGAATCGCTGCTGACACGAGAGAAAGGTATAGGGCAAAACCTCCCTTATGCTGATAAGGGGGGTCTTGGAAATGCGTTTGCAAACACACGTGAATACTTAGAGCAGTGAAATAAAACGACAGACCTCTCATCCTGAAAGAATGCTTTTGGACACTGAGACACAACGGCCTCCTGATCGTAGC